GTCAAGAAATTCGTGCCACAATTTTAGAAATGAACTGTAAGCTTTCGAAAGGCCAATAATAATTTGTTGACATGATGATTGGGTGAAATTAATTAAAGAATTTTACTATCAATATCAGGTATTGCATAAATCAATAACGTTAATTAAACGTTATTGATTTATGGAAGCCAAAACATTGTACAGGCAAACATGTGATAGGTAGTTTTCATGGAAACCAGAACATGTGATATGTAGTTTTTTATGTTGACGCATCATGTGATATATAGTGACATGTACTGATAGCTAGATGATAATGTTATAGTTTTATAATTTTTAAAAAATATTTTTCCAAATGTTAGATAGATGAAGTTTAAGACAATAACCTAATAAGCTTTATTATTGGTATTTTGCAATTTTTGTACAAATAGAGCAGTGTTTTGCTATACATCCTTCTTATCGATAAAATTTTTTATGGGAGACTTTTCTCTAATTTTTTCTTTATATTTTTATTCACTTCTTTTCATTTTCTTGCTTTATTTATTTAATTTTCCTTTGACATAATGCATTGCCACCATCCGTACAATTTGTACGCTAATTCAAATAAACAGATAAGCATGTAGGAAAAATAATACTCCTCCGGTCCTAATTATAAGACCCAATTGACTTATTTGAGGAGATTAAGGAAGTAAGTTAAGTTGGTTATTTATAATAAATAAGTGTTGTCATTCCTAAAATATCCTTACTAATTAAGTATATTGGCTAAAACTATCATTATTAGAAGGATTATCTTGGAAAAAAATGCATAAATATAAGAGACAAAATGGATTGGGTCTTATAATTAGGACCAAATAAAAAGTCAAATTGGATCTTATAATAAGGACCGGAGGAGTAATAAAGAAATTGCCAATTTGCAATTATAATCAACGAATTAAAATTGATTGAGATGTGCAGAAATTGACTTGAAAGGTGCCTGTGTATACACGCGCGCACACACATATATGCAAAGTAAACAACATTGATTTTTTCTGTAATCATTGAGGGTGATTATTATATTGAATGTGATAATATATATTTATATGTATGTGACGCAAAACATAGGCTTGATTTTACCAAGGGATATGCACAGACACGCGTGGCCGTGCTGTAATTAGGTGAAGTGGCTGTTGCAATGTCACAAACTAGGCCCATGGAATTAAATTAAACGATTTGACTTAGGTTGATGTTGGTGAAATACGCCCATTATGCATAAACGAAACTAACGCGTACTTAGTTTTATGATAGGAACAAAACAAAAAAATCTCCTGATTTTAATTAGAGCCATCAAAACAGGTTGAATTGAGGCTATTGGTGAATTGGTGAGAGGAGGATAAACAAATAAAAACAAAGAGTTTAAATCAATGAGAGTTAGGAGGTGTTTGGGTAAGAACAAAACCATAGTTTCTAAAAGTGGTTTTAAGGTATACGAAATAAATATATGAAGGAATTTATCTCGATTTGCGAAAAAATACTTCTGAAAAGTGATTATATGGTATTCTAAACACCCTCTTAAATCCAGTAAAAAGAGTTAGTCACAACAAATCAATGTTCGAATCTCCGTTGAAAGAAGTGTTCACATCTAGTATATGATAGTATCTCAAACGGATCGATTGATTTTAACAGAAGAATATGTGTATGTAGAAAAAAAATGCGTTTGACTTTTTGGTTTTGATGTGGAAGGTATTGGGTGATAAGGCGAGGTAGTCGTAGGGAGTAAGAAAAAGGGAGAGGACGATGAGTTTGAAAGCATTAAGGTCTAAGGGCGGGTATAGCGGTATAGTTAATTCCAACTGCCCACGACAACATCAACAAAACATCAATGTCGAGGCCGTTGAATTAAGGGCGTTAATGGAGGTCAGCTGATCACAGTTTTTGTTCACCAGACACTACCAAAAGTTGAGATGCTTTTAATGTTTGTTCACAAGTTTTTTAAATAACCACTTAGACCGATATGTACTAACAGTTTGTGGTTAGATGGTGGCCTGGAGGCTCCTTAACGTAATATTATTAGATGGTGGCCTGGAGGCTCCTTAACGTAATATTAGGCTGTTCTTTAAGCCAGTACTTCATGCCCTTCAAAAAGACAATTGGTTTTCTAAACGATTTATAAGTTCCATCCTTTTAATTTGCTGCCACAATAGAACACTACAAGAAGTAATTAAAGAGAGATATTCTCAATTACAGTGCTGCAATAGAAAATTAATATGGTAATTTGAATAGGAGCCCGTTTAGTTAATATAATGAGAATGTTATTATTCCATGTGGCGTGGATTGTACCATAGTGATTACTAATTTAAGGGTACGGAACAAAATGATTAGGTTCAGTTTGTTTGGAGTATTAGGGCAAGGAAGCATCTTTGAGTTGGTAACGAAGACAAGCAAAATGTCTCCAAGTATAATTGGAGTGGCGTGTGCATAAGGCGAAGCTAGTGTGTGGCTTTTCCTTCTACACCTATAATGTTGACTTTATTGCTATTTTTCCCATTCATTAATTAAACCTTTTGGTCTGAGTAGTTTTTTTTATCACATAAAAAACATACGACTCTTATTACTCCTACCATCTTTATCATCAAACTAATGATTGCCTGGAGTATGTCTATATAAGTATATGTTCTTATTATGTGGTCTGCATGATTTTATTTTTATCTTGTTATACTTGAAACAAAAAAGAGAAAAAGAAAAAGAAAATAAAGATAATATTTTCCTACCTGCTTAATTGTCATAAATAGAAAGGACTCTGTTTATAAATAAATGATCGAGAGGCTTGTTTTTTTAGGTCACCTGCTGTTTGGGATTCATTTAGAATAGCTTATAAACAATTATTTAATCGTGATGTATAGAATATGAGATGAGTGTGTAAGATGAGTTTTGTCCAAATTTACGTAAAACGTGCTTATAGCTACTTATGACTGCGAGTCTAAGTAGGCCATAAGTCTTGGATGACTTTATTTTTTATTTTTTCCTTTTTTCCCTTGTGAACAGGCATTTCCCTGATAAAAGCAATTTTATTTAAGGTACTTTCTAATATTAAATGTGGGCAAATACAAACCTTGTGAAAAACAATTCTAAATTCATTAGTAGCTTGGGATGAAGTTATAAGATTACTTGGTTCTTTATGTGGTGGGAAATTAGTCCTTTCGTTATACTTTTTTTTTTTTTTGGGGCATAAAAGAGGGCTTAGCCCAAAGTACACTATCCCAGGCTGTCTTGTACATAAAGCCCCTCAAATCATCTGGGCACACATGGAAATAAGGGGAAGTATTGATACCATTGTTTGCCAGACCATCGGCAACGATATTTCTATTCCTTGCAACATTATATCTCCAATATTTAATATAAGAGTTAGTTAACTAATTTGAATAGATTAAAAAAACTAGTTAGAGTTAGTTAACTAATTTGAATAGATTAAAAAAACTAGTTAGATTAGTTATTTATAATAAAGAGACTTTGTCTTTCATAAATTATTATTACTAATTAAATGTATTGGCCAGAACTACTATTATTACAGAGGCTATTTAAAAAAAAAGGGGATAAATATGAGAGACAAAGTAAATTGGGGTCTTATATTTAAGACCAAAATAAAAGTCAAATAAACTCTTATATTAGAATAGAAAGTAATATCTCAATTTGACTCCCAATTAAAGTTCAGCAAGTTTCAGTCAAAAAAAAAAAAAAAGTTTAGCAAGTTGTGGATCAGCCAAGTCATGAGGCTATAGCAATCGCTAGTCTTTTACCCCTAGGGGGTGTTTGGACTTTGGATGAACACCAAACCATGATTTCAGGAATGATTTTACGGTATGCGAAATAAATATGTGAAAGAATTTATCTCGATTTATAAAAAAGTACTTTTAAAAAGTATTTCTCTTAATTCTCAGACACCTTTTAGGCTTTGTTTGGATTGAGAGAAAATAGGAGAAGAAAGAAAACTAGAGTGGAAAATGGGGGAGAAATAGAGTTTTTTCCTACTTGGATGGGAGAGAAAATAGGAGAAAAAAGAAAAGTGGGGGAAAAAATAGAGTGGATCCCATATCTTATTTTCCTCTCAAAATTTCTCTCCACAAGTGGAGAGATTTTCACCAAAACAAGCTCATTCCCCTCACTGCCCTCCCCCGCAAGCTCCCATCAGTCCTCACTCTTCAGCCTTTTCCATTATCCACGTTGCTTCGATCCAAAGTTTCCACGTTCCCAGACTTTCGTTGCCCCATTTCAAACCCATTGTTAATCCTCCAGGGAAACTACAAATATGATTAAGTTATTTATTTTTAATCATTTTATTAAAATATTAGATAATGTATAAGTTATTTATTTCCTTTTATTTTAATTAAGTTCAAAAATTATTCCCTTTTTATTTTTACATAGAAAAATAATTTTTTTTTGCTAAATTATTTAGTTTCCTTGCCAATTGATTATAATAAGGATATTTTAGTCATTCTGATATTTATACATTTTCTTTTCTCCCTGTTTTCTCTCACTCATCCAAACAAGATGAGTGATAATATTTTCTTTTCAGTTTTCTCTTCTTTCTATTTTCTTTTCTCCCAATTTTTCTTCTCATCTAAGCAGGGGGTTATTCCCGTCGGTTGGATGACTTCATGTCAATCAATACGTGTTGAGCCGCGTAAACACCCTTATTAGGTCGGAATAATTAGGCCCGTCAACACTACAGATTCTGATTTTGGATTTGAATTGGGCTTCTCCGTACTACCTCTGGACCGAAATTCTGAAATCCAGGCCCATCCAATTGGGCCTAATCGATCCATGTCGCTTGGCGTCATTTCCTTTTGGGCCCCTCAGTTCTTTTCTTTTCAAATTTCCGTCTATTTATGTCACCAAATCAAAATTAAAAAACAAGGAGAATGACGAATTTATTATACTTTTATTCTTCTCTTTCCACGTGAACGAGCCTGTCCTCCATTATCCATCCCTCTATTTAGCTTTGTCGGCGGAGGGAATTTACAGAAGAAGCCATCAGCGAGCTCCGTGCGTACCGTACGTCGGCGTTGCTGCTACTGTAATTGGAGGCGATCCGTTTTTCCGTTGGAGGGTTCCGAGGTTTTTTCTTCAAGTCCAAGTGAGCAGAAGATGTCTGGAGTCGCGAACGAGGAGGACAAGAAGCCCACCGATCAGGGGGCGCATATCAACCTTAAGGTCAAGGGACAGGTTTGTGATGGATCCTTTTTATGCAGGCTTGATTTGCCTTTTCCCTTGCTTTGTAAACCGAGGGTTTTGGGGTCGATAGTGGAATCTAGGGTTTTGTTTCTATTTAGGGTCGTTTTTAAGTGGAATCATGTGATGCTACTATTTTAGCTTTACGTCCCGAATCTTTTGAACTGGAGATGCAACAGTGTTATGAGTGTTTTCCAGTGGGGTATGCTATGCAGTTCCCTACTCTGACTTGCGGTCGTAGGCTCTATAATTCACAGAGACAATTTTTTAACTGTTTGATCAATGTGTCCGGCTGATTTTATTGTCAATTACTTCTTCATGAGAATAAATTGTGGAGCTTGCCTCTAATGCATTATGTAGTAGGAATTCTATTGTCCATATTTACGAATTGCATTTAGCTGTTTCGTATGAGTTGTGAGCTTCTGTTCTTTCGGAGATGTTTTTGCTTACTGTAAATTTGGGAGTTTTTTTGGGATGAAATGAAATGGAGTAGCACGACTATTGGGGATAAACCCTTTTTTCGGATTTCTTTAAAGGAGAGTAAGTGAAATGGCAAGAGATGGTCTCCCAAGCTATCTCTAGTCATTACGGACTAAATTTTTTCTGTCCCTCCAAATGGGGGCAACGTGGAACGGTCACCAAATAATATTATAATAACGAAACTGTGCTTGACCATTTAAAACACTTTCCACAGTAGTTGTTATGCATTCCTCCTCTTGTTTTCTTCATTCTGTTGAACACTATTCCAATTCTCTCCGGTCTCCACTACACCAAGCTGTCCTCCCATTCTCTCTATGCAGCAGTCGTCAAGCCTAACCTCAAAGTTTAACGATAGTTACAGGATGAAAGAGGAAACTAAAACTATCTTAATAGTCCACCTCAGTTTAACAAGGTAGCTTTATGCTTTGGCATAATAGCAAAAATAATGACTTTGTATGAGTGTATTTAATGTTATGGTCATGACTAACTTATTATCATGCTCATGTAGTGACGTTAGAATTTTTTTTTTTTTTTAATGATTATGTTTGTATAGTTAATTTATATAGTATTTTTGGTTTTCAAGTTTTCATTTATCTGGTTTGTATTTATGTGACATATTCTCTTCCTCTTTTGTCATCTTCTTTCACTTGAGCGTGCTCCTTCTTAGCGCCTCCTTCCAAAGGCAATTTAGAGGTTTATCACTTTTAAGGCACCTCTTGCCTTTGACTATGGTTTTTGTGCATCAGAAGGAAATCAAATGTGGCCTTTTATCTTCTAGAGGATGTTAAAATTGATTCCCCCCCCCCCCCCTTGTAATCTGGTTTTGCAATGCTTGCCTTGTTTTTCTTTTCCCCTTACACATTGTTGTGTAATTATCTTTTTCGGAGGGATCTATGCCCTTCTGTTATGTTTGGACTTAAGTACCAAATGCTGTGCAGAGATTAGTCATAATTTTAATTGAGATGGTTAAAAGCTCAAAATGTGAAATTGGCTTTGGAAGCATAGCTATGGGGTTAAGCTAATTGGTAATTATGTTTGAGCCAGAGTGTTATTTTTCCTTGGGGAGTAGGGAGATGATGGTGTGTATGAATGTAAGCCCATCAAGCTTAGCCTCAAACTTCAGCTTGGTACCATGTGAACTATTTGGTTTGTGGTGTTTGTTATTTGATTTGTCATTGGTAAATATTAGCTACTCCGCAAGAATTATAAGTGGGAATAAAAGGTCTGGCACGGGACTGTAAAAAGACCCGCAGTGGTTGTCATGGCCAAAATGTTACTGTTCTTCATATTGCTATCTATGTGGTCTCAGGATTCAGTTGTGACATATAAAATTAGCATTATCTTCCCCTCCTTTGATGTTATAGGATGGGAATGAAGTTTTCTTCAGGATTAAGAGGAGCACTCAACTGAAAAAACTCATGAATGCTTACTGTGACCGACAATCAGTGGATTTTAATTCCATTGCCTTTCTCTTTGATGGTCGTCGCCTTCGAGCAGAGCAGACTCCAGATGAGGTCCGTGTGGATTTCTTTGTCTTCCCATTTTCATGTAAATGCTCCTCATATTTTGATCACTATTGACCATATTACTGTTTTTTCCTCATTAAAATTTGATTGCGCGCAGCTGGAAATGGAGGACGGAGATGAAATAGATGCCATGCTTCATCAAACAGGAGGTTCTGTTGCCTAATGGAAGTGGAGATCTTTCCTCTGGCCTTGTTATAAATCTAGACTTACTTTAACTTGTTATTGATGCCTAAGATGTATCTTCCATCAAGCTACTGCTATGATACTGCTCTTGCCGCTTGAGTTTGTAGGGTATATGTTTTCGTTGTCAATATAAATTACTGAGTGGTTTCTACTATCATACTGATGAAGTCTGATAACTTATTGGATGCATAATTTACTGTCGTTTGTGCCTCAGCGAGCAATGTATGAGATGCTTGTTTATTGATGGTTGGGGATTTAAGCTTGCCTTCTTGTTGATGTGATGAAGGATTATCATCTATGCTTGATCTTACGTTGGATATGTTATCCCGAATTTGGTGACTTTTAACTGGTTGGTTATGTTTGGTATGGAATTTATGAACTGAATATTAGTATGAGTGAAGGGATAAAAGAGAGTCCAGAGAAAGAGATGGTGCTGAAATTCTTCTTGTGCCATGGATTTCTTTTATTTTTATGCTGTTTTCTTTGTCAAACTAATCACCATACGTTGCCCAGTAACTGATAACCGCAAAGAGATAAATATGTTAAAACAGTAAAATATCAACTCCATGGACGTTCAATATATCATTTCATGTTCTATTTACAGACGTTACCCGTCATTATTTTCCTCATTACCCTCACTATTACTATTACCACATATCAATTTGCTTTCCCAGGAAGGAAAGCTCGTGCCCTCTAGGATCGGTACAAAAGCAGGAGAAAAAGGCATATATCTAGGTTTAAGGTGTAAAGATGCTAAGTTGTTAAGACTGGTAAAACAAAAACCATTTGAAAACAAGATGAATGGAGGTCAAAAGCCCGGCTTGCTGCAGTGTTCTTTCCGTCTCGAAGTTTGTTGTAATCCTCTCTTTCTAAGTCCAAGTGATGCCCAATGCTGAAACTTTAAGACTTGTACGTCCCACATGCAGTCAAATATTGTTAGGCCCGTATATGTGTGAGCGGCCCAAACCACTTGTGGATGGGCATCATAGCCTCATTACTGATCCCATTTTCCATAAGGTCTTTGTTTTTGACTGGGGTTCAATAAGGTCTTTGTTGATTTCCCAAATCTTACTGATTTTAAAGTCTATTGTGAATATATTTGGAGAGTTATAAAAGCAAAAGCGAAAATTTTTCATGAATTAGCTAAAGAAATTAACCCAAGGCGTCATACTAGTACAAGGATAATATCAATAAGAAAATGACGAGAAATTGGTAATAATTGGATCCCATAGATTTTTCACTTACAAGTGCTTGGTTTTGTTAGGTACACGTGAACAATATAAAAAGATTTGTTGATGCCAAGACGTATATGCAAGATGTTATGACACTTTGTTCTAAGAAAAGAAAGCAGCTTCTTTGGCATCATGGTACCAAGGTAGGGTGCTAAAACACCTTGTGCAGAGACAGAAACAAGGCTCTGGTGTCACAGCATTGTGATTGGAATGCCATGGTACCTTGATGAAACTCAAAACACAACGTTTCATTTTTTTTGACATAAAATGACCAAGAGGACTCGACTTTGGGCATTTGGGATGCTATTTTCAACTCAAGAAACATAGAAAGTGATGAAGAAGACGTTTAAGAAGAAAAAAGGAGCCAGAGTTTGGTGTTTTGAAGGGATGTGGGATCCCAAGCATTGGTTTTCTTTCTCTCTCTTTTCTCTTTTTATTTGTAATCTAGTATGGACCAAAGTATTTACTGTATTTCTAGTTTCTTTAGGATCATGAGGAGCCAAACCCTTTTCTTTAAAGTTATTTCAAAGTTTGTAGGGATTTAGGCTCATTTATTCCTCTCTTTTAGCATTTACTAAGTTTATGTGTTGAATTTATCTTAAGCTTAATGCTTCTTAGTGTGAGGCCATCACTTTGAATGTTTTATTTATCTTAATTTGACTTAAGATAGCTGATTGAGATATAGAACTTAGATAAATTTGTGCTTGACTTGAAATTTTTTGATTGAATAGATGTGTTGTTTTTAACATAAAGATATAGTAATTAACATAGTATTGTCAAATTAAGGTTGGTACTTCAAATAATCTGCATTAAATGTTAAAATATGTTGAGCATTTTATGAATAATTAAAATTTGGTTTTGACTCTTGAAAGCTTAATCAAATAATTCAGAACCTTAGACAAACACATGGTTTCATTTAAATGCTATCTGAGAGGGATTTAATTAGGCTTCATGAGATATAGAGGAGAGAAATAATCCTAGGTTTTAATTGTTTGGAAATCAGATTTGTAATTTTAGTTATTTTATCATTTTGGAATAACTAAATTTTAAATCACAATTTTTAAATGATTCTACCCAACCTAATTATGAACACAAATGCGATAATTAGCTAATTTTTACCTTAGTTTTGGTGAGAATGATATTTTTATACTTTTTGCGATTGCGCGCTTGAGGTGTGTGTTTGACAAGGAACAGTCTTGCTTGATTGTCACGTGGCACACACACTAACCCCCCAAGGTCAACCTTCTTGAATATGCTGAACTAGAGAAGTTTTAGTAATACTCAAACTGAACCCAAAAATGGGTTGAACGCGCAGGTTCAACTTGCCAACCCTCCAAAAAGTGACAGGTTGAGTTGAAGAAAATAGGAACCATTTGGATGTGGTCCTTTTTAGCTCCTACCCCCAACCCACGGGCTACCACGCTTTTTTTATTATCACTTTCCTAATTTTTATTTTCATTTTAATAATTTTTTTTATCATTTTCACTTGATTTCTATATAGATTTGTACTTTGTTGATTTTAAATTTGATTTCTCTTTTTTTTTAATCATTTTTGTACTAATAAAATAACTATGAAAAATTATATGTTTATATTTCAAGTTTTGGGATTAATTTAATCATATTTATATAAAAATAAAAAAAATTAGTCTACAAAAATTTGTAATCTAATTTAAAAATTTAAAATACATGTGAAATACAAAAAAAAAAAAAAGGATGGAGGCCAACCCATCCCTTGGTGGAGTGGGCCATCTAAATTTGAGGCTACTAGGAGGCAGTCATTTGAGCACCGGCTTGCATGGGCTCCAATTTATGAGTCATGACTCAACCCGCTTTACCACCTCTAAATTGTCTGGACAAATTGTATAGCCTATCAAGAGCCCTGGCCGACCCATTTTCTTCCGGAGTCACACCCGACCCAAAAACACATTCTTCTTCCCAATCCGATTCATCTGTGGACCGACCTTGGCCTCCAACGATTGAGATTCCTTTTCTGATGCCGAGGCCGGTACTTCTCCTATTGATGAATGATGATGCCAAGAGCTCCGATAAATGCAAAAGCAGAATTCACATGGGTGAGATGAAAGATCCTTGCGGCGATGAGGGAACCACATATCACTGTTGACGCAACTTTTCCACCCATACACCAGTGATCGAAGACTGGGACGGAGAAGAATTCTCGCGGAACAAATTCGCAGAAACAAAGTGAAAGGATCAAATTCCTCGTGTCTTGTGATTTGACTAGCAACCCTTCTGTATTATTGAATCCCATGCAGGTCTCGAGAACATTAGAAGGCATGATGGTGAGAGTGAGACGCAGAGGGAGAACCAACCATATTTTGATGTCAATCCTCTAAAGTCTAGATGATGAATATATGAGGTGCAGTCAGCAATATCTGAAGTACCACTATCACAGGAATTTTCTAGAGAACAGGAAAACTAGACTTTGGTCAACAACTATTCATGGGGTACGCACGTATTTGAGTCTAGTAAAATGAGTCAGTTAGTGTTAGCGTGATTAACGATTCTTAGTTAACACAAGTGTGAGGTATAATAGCCACTGGTCACTGCCCATTTTAATTTGCATATAATGACACTATTACTCCTAAATAAACATGCTTGTCCACAAGGATGGAGTAAGAGGGTGGCACTCTTGAGTGAAGAAAAGATCCTTACTCGCATGTTGTTTTCAGGACAAGTGTGGCGCCGTGTTAGCCAATATATTACGGTCCTGTGTAAATTTTTGTATCCTGTTATTAATTAATAATTAATAAAAATTTGAATTACTTTATATGGTTATCTATTGGTATATTGTTATTTGGGGAATCTACATGATACTGTGACAAATTTTAATATCATTACACCTTCAAGAAATAATATTTCAAGATAGCCTAAATTTCAGGGATTAAAATTATGGGTTAGAAATTTTAGGAACCTAACCAAAATGGGCTCCCATTTTAAGAACAAAAAGTTGTACCAACCATTTTCTTTTAAAAAAAAACCCCTAATTCTCCCCCTTAAAAAAAACCCCTAATTCTTTTTCAAATTAATTTTTGAAAGAATTATAATGAGATTCTAAAAAAAGAAAATAATTAATAAAAATTTCCAAAAATATAATAACAAGTTTTACAGTAGAAATAGATAATTTTTAAGATTTATTTTATAATTATTTTTTTCCTTAAAATCTTATGGTAATTTTTCTTTAATTTTTTGGGCCAACTTTTCAAATTAGTTTAGACTTTAGATCATGATCCGCTTCAGCAGTTGGGATTTGCGCCGTGTTGACCCGAAAATCACAGATTTTCTCATCCGTCCGATCTTACCCATTTCAACAGAATCCGAATCGTCATTTTTCATCGTTCTTCCCACGCTAAGGTTACGACCGTCAGTCGTCCATCTCTAAATAAAGTTTAAAACTTTATCGGCGGAAAGAATTCGCAGAAGAAACTAGCAGTGAGCTCCGTTGGAACCAAACGTTGTCGTTGCTGTGACTGTGATCGGGGGCGATCAGATCTTTTGTCCTAGATTTCCGAGGTTTAAGTCCCAGACAGTAGAAGATGTCAGGCGTCTCTAACGAGGAGGACAAGAAGCCCACCGATCAGGCTGCACATATCAACCTTAAGGTCAAGGGACAGGTTTGTGGTTGATCCTTTATATGTGAGCTTGATTTTCCTTTTACCCCTTGAATGCGAACTGAGGGGTTTTGGGGGCGATAGTGGAATCTAGGGTTTTGCTTCTATTCGGGGTTGTTTTGAGTGGAATCATTTGATGCTACTATTTTAGTTATCCCTACTGACTCTTTGGAACTGGGGATCCATGAATGGGGTTTGAGGTAGTAGAATGATTGGTGGGGTTATATATACTCGTTGGGAGCATGGAAGATTTTGGTGTGTAGTTGGTTTTGGTGGAAATGGAGAGAACTTGCATCTCAGTTTTTCTGCCCTTGAATTCTGCTTGTGTTTTGTTTCGACTTTTGTGCGATCCTTGATTGTTACATTTTAGTGAGTTCTTATCGGGGATTATGTGTTTTCCAGCATGTGTACCATGCAATTTTCTCCTTTGTACTCCAACTTACGTTTGTAGGCTCGAAAATTCTCAAAGAGACAATTTTTGAATTGATCATTATGTCTGTTTGCTTCTATTGTCAATTACATCTTGATGAGAATGAGTAATGGAAGTTGCCTCTAAAGAATTGGGGCTGGAATTCTATTATCCGTTTTCTTTTTTTGAATTACGTGGAGAATTTAACTGCTTGGTATGAGACTAGAGCTGTGAGCTTCTGGCTTTTCAGGGATGTTTTTTCTTGTGGAACAACAGTATATTAGTATTTATTAGTGATGTATAAGTAGCTTGTTTGGTACGCAACTTGTAATTCTTCCTAGAATTGGGAAAAGGGTCTTATTAAGAGGGATACTATACTGCTCAAAAACTGAGTCTTCTAAAAAGGGATTGAGGAACATATTGGGCACGTCAGAGAAAAAAGTTATGGTTTTTAGTATAAGTCGTTTTTCGTTTTCTTGTACATCATTTGATAAGTCATTCCATGAATGCCCTCTTGCCACATTACAATGTAATATGGAAATTAATGATGGTGTTTGTAAGGGGTAAAAATGCAAAGCGATTCATTTTTAAGACAGTTTTATTGCTTCAATTAACTTGCCTTGGTTTTGGTGAGTGAGTTAGAAGTAACTTATATATAGGACCATGGGTAGTAGACTTTACAAACGGGTATTGAATGTCATTGTGTCAGGAAATATAGCGCTCTTGTTTATGTACTTCATAACATTTTACTTTTTTTTTTTTTGGTTTCTTTCGTTGCCTCTGTTTTTCACTTTTAAGGAATTTAAAAAAAGAACAGCATTATGGGTAAAAGACCAACAGTGGTAGTCATAGGCAAAACGTCCACATTCTTGGTATTGCTATCTATGTGATCTTAGGATTTGGTTGAATGTGTTTGTTATGTGATGCCATTATAAAATTAGAGATGTAAAATAAGCATAAAATATTATGCCTCGGACTATGATGTTGTAGGATGGGAATGAAGTTTTCTTCAGGATTAAGAGAAGCACTCAACTGAAGAAGCTTATGAATGCCTACTGTGACCGACAATCAGTGGATTTTAATTCCATTGCTTTTCTATTTGATGGCCGTCGCCTTCGAGCAGAGCAGACTCCGGATGAGGTCTATGTGTATCCCTTTGTCTTTCCATTTCCATGGAAACACTGCTCATATATCAATAACTGTTCGCTGTATTTTTTTTTTTCTCACTATATTTTTGTTGTTTGCAGCTGGAAATGGAGGATGGGGATGAAATAGATGCCATGCTTCATCAAACAGGAGGCGCGGTTGCATGATAGAAGTGGGGATCTTTCCTCTGCTTTGCCTTATTATGAACATAATAGACTTACTTTTATTGAGGTTGATGCCTAAGATGCATCTTCCATCAGCCTACTGCTATAATGCGACTCTTGCATCTCGAGTTTGTAGGGCATATGCTTTCTGTGTTAATATATTATTGAGTGGCTTCTGTCGTACTTTACTGTCTTTTGTGGGATGGGATGCATAATTTACTGTCTTTTGTGCCTCAGCGAGGAGCCTAAGAAATACTTGCTTATTGATGATTGGTGATTTAAGCTTGCCTAAGTTGCCGTGATGTGATGACTGATGTCGATTCTTAGTTCATGTGTGTAAATATGCCAAATTTGATGATAGTTCGCTGGTGGTTTTGGTCAGAAAATTTTGAATTGAATATCAGTATCACTAAAAAGAAAGTAGTCCAGGGAATGAGAGTGCGGTTGATGAATTCTTCTTGACCTAAGGATTTTACTTTTATCCGACCAATCACCAGATGGGTTGATTGGATATTAAGTTGTGTTGGTCTTGGGCATGAAATTTAACTCTGGGTGATGAGAGCTATGATGTGTGTCTTATGTATGCATATTGATGTCTGTGTGTGTGTTTCAATCTCTGGCTATGCTTTCACAACGTTAACCGAATTGGGTGCCTTTCTGGATGGCTTGAGAAATAAATAAGCTGCTGTCCAGTAGTACAATCTTCATAGTTTGATGCTGATTATCGGTTGATGAGTAAATTGATATTTTATAGTTCTATGAAAAAATGAAAGTAGTTTCTCACTAACTTTGATTTATGATACAATATCTCGAATCACTATCATTCCTCTGTGTGTGAAATTTATTCGCAGTTTTGCTGTTATTTTAAATCCTGTTTTTATTAGTTTTGTGTAAAGTTTGTCTTCAAGTTTTACGGTTGTCTGGGTTTTTATTGCCAATTCAATCTGGTTATTGAACTAATGGAATTTGGGAAATATACAAGGAAGAAATGCACCGGATTCATTCCCACCTCGCCTTGGTAATAAAAATGAAAACAGGGCCAAGCAGAATTTCATCGATGTATAACAGTGAAAAATCTGACTTCAACTATAACATTAAAATGCCGGAACGCTGAGCTCAAATGCTTCTCGCCAAAGTATAAAAGATTGTGTTGCGGTCCTACTATGTTATAAATTATTTTGACTAATTTGTTCCGACTACCAAGAAGGATCCAGATTCATTTTGCAAGTTGGTTATTACAGGTGTTCCTAAATAGGATTGTTCTAGTTTTTAATTTAATATAAAGCATAATTGACTAATTTAAAAAAATTAAGAAAAATATGAAATTAATTATAGCATATGTCATGTAATCTTTTTAAAATGTTTATGTGTATTATTAAATTATATATCAATTTATAACTAAGACAAATTAGTTCAGAAAAAAATAATAAATATAAATAGTTTAAAGTAATTTAGTAATTTGAATCAATCGGTTTTTATATTAGGAACTGAAAGTAGTATTTGAATTTTCGATGCGAATGCTACATAACTGGTTTTAATTTTTTAGAGAGTAGAGACTACGATTCTTTTGCTTATGTAATGCCAAATGTCATTTGTACTTATTGTCATTGTATACCAATTTAAACCTCATACACTGTGTTACCAAGGGGGAAAAAAGAACCCTCCTAAACTGTATAACCTCCCTTAAAAACATGATAAAATGAGAATGATACAGAAAGGATTAACATGGCTCTTGCACTAAATATATTCTGTACATAATAAAATATTCTGTTGATATTCTTGTGGGGCACAATTAATAGCCTTCCTTATTTGTGAATATAACTGACCCCATGATGAGAGATCCCAATTTTTCATTGGTCACACTGATATTAATATTTTGGATTCTCAGTAATCCAATCATGTATTAATTCAATTACTGCCTTTAATTATGATGGGCTCAGATGTTCACTTCCTTCTCTGACATCATATTTGAAATTTCACCCTTGCTACTCACCCCCCTTGTCACTACTAAAAATCAGAGAGCACATTATTTTTCATATTTTATGCAAATTAAAAAAAGGTACATTAAAATATTGATAATGGTATTGAATAATTATTGATGCCCCTTTTATGAATGAACTGGATCTCCCCAGGTGCACTTTTAGCTCAAGTGTAAAGATAAATAAAGAGGACATGTGAAATCACACATGCTTATGACTAACATTCACACTCATCTCTTTATTCCCCTCTCTTGCTCTATAAAGCAGGTAATCCTAATATGGAAAATAACTGATTTCATTTTTGAAATATAATACTCCTCCGATCCTTAATATAAGACCCATTTAACTAATTTGATTAGATTAAGGAAGTTAGGTAAGTTAGTTAATTATAAGAAAACTGACACATTTTTCCTAAAACACCATAATCATCTTTTTTAATACCACTTTCTCTTTTCTACTTGATTATGGTTAAGTGAGTATCTATAGGGGTAATTTAGAGAAAATTGATAAATATGAGAAATGAGTCTTATATTTAGGATCAAAATCAACTCAAGAATTGGGTGCTATATTAAGGACCGGAGGAGTAAAAGTTAAAATATAATCTTAAAAAAAAGAATTCTTCATCTTTTTTTTCTTTTTATGTTAATTTCTATTATAAGCTGACCCATGCACTTAGAACTGAGTGCACAATATTGAGTCATAAATTAAACCAATCAGAATGAGCCTGCATCCCAATTCCCCATGAACATGCCCTCATCTGATCCCTGCCTCCTCCAGTAGTCTCCCTCCTCGATCACTTTACGAAACGCCTCACGTATAAATACACAGAGAGACTCTGAGAAAGAGAAGTAATCAAAATGGAGGCGAATCAGAAGAAACAAGTCAGAACGCAGAACCCAAGCACATGGCTTATGGCTTTTGTCTTTCTGTCATCAATCTCCTTCTTCTTCCCATCTGCTTCGTGCCGTTCCTTCAACTACAAGCAAGCTCTCTCTCACAGCCTCCTCTACTTCGAGTCTCAGCGTTCCGGTCACTTACCCCACAACCAGAGGGCCACCTGGCGCCACCATTCTGGCCTCACCGACGGCCTCGAGCAAGGGGTAAGTACCCTGCAATACCTCCATCTCTCTCTCTCTCTCTCACATTGGGTCCTCATTCACGTTTTGTGTTCCGTTAGGTGGACTTGGTGGGAGGGTACTATGATGCCGGAGATAATGTCAAGTTTGGACTTCCCATGGCATTCACCATCACGTTGCTCTCTTGGGCAGTCATCGAATACGGTGACCTTATTGCCGGCGCCGGCGAGTACGAACACGCTCTCGAGGCTATCAAGTGGGGCACTGATTATTTCATCAAGGCACACACGCACCCTCATGTTCTTTGGGCACAGGTGATTTCCTATCAGTACAATATATTCTCATTGACTTCTGTCTGCTGTTATTTCAATAGTGTATTATTCTGTGATTTGAGTATATAACTTTACCAAGAGTGAGCGCGGAGAATATACAGCCGCGCGCCGCCGTTTAGGCGGGTGGTGCTTCCGACGTCCATAATCACTAGAGAAATATGGACTGAATCAGATGTCAGAGCAATCAGCGGATCCTCCATGAGTTTCAGAGCTGACCAACCTCGCTACCGTGATTGGCGCGTGTCTCACTCGCGGCGGCACATGGGGGGAATGAAATTATGGGATTGTTCACTGAGAATTGGAATTACCGAGTCAAAAATCTAAATAGTGAAATGAGGCCAACCGGTCATATATGTTTTTTTCAATTAAATACCTCTGAGAAAGTTAATCTTTTTCAGGTGGGCGACGGCGGCACGGATCATTACTGCTGGCAAAGGCCGGAGGATATGACGACATCCCGGCGAGCATACAAAGTGGACGCCAACAACCCCGGCTCGGAGGTTGCCGGAGAAACGGCGGCGGCAATGGCGGCCGCTTCTATAGTGTTTAGGAGAACAAATCCACATTACTCTCACCTACTATTGCACCATGCACAACAGGTACGCTAGTTATTTAGTTAACTAACAGCCCATTTCCATATAACTCACAGATTAATTAATTCATTAAATAGTTAATTAATTTTTAATCAATTGGTATAATGTTAGAGAATATGTTGTGATGCTTAATTGGTTGTTGTTGATGGTGCAGTTATTTGAGTTTGGGGACAAGTACAGGGGGAAGTATGATGACAGCATTGGAGTGGCTAAAGGGTATTATTCGTCTGTGAGCGGGTACAGGGACGAGTTACTGTGGGCAGCCATATGGATGTACAAGGCCACCCAAAGTGATGACTATTTAAACTATGTTTTGGAGAATGCTTATGACTTTGGTGGGGCCACTTGGGCCATCGCTGAATTTAGTTGGGATATCAAGTACGCCGGCGTCCAATCCATTGCTTCCATGGTATCCATATATTACACCCTCCTTTTCTTTTCGACTTCATGGTAATTAACTTCTTTTTTTATTTACTAGATTTTCTATATATATGTAGGAATAAAGTTTGAAGGATGAATTATAATAGTCATAACTTGTAAATAATTATATCGTACAATTTTTGAAATTAATAATATAGAAACCTGTGACTAATATTGAATCTTTCACAATTCCTTACATTAACATCATTCATAAATATTTGTATTTTGAACATATTTTGGATCAATCAATCCCTCCATTTTAAGCATATTAGAATACACATACTAGTCTGGGATTTTTAATTCATGAGAGATTAGCTTTTTCTTCTTTTTTTTAAAACTAAATTTATGTTAATTAACTTTTAATTTTATATCGTCTAAAAGCTTGCCATAGACCTGTTTCTCATAAGTTACCTCTAAAAATAAACCATGCTAGTGACAAAGCGTTTGCTTTTTTATTTTGCAACTATGCACATCCTAGAAGCTAAAAGAAAAGATGTACACTAATTTTGTGACCACACAACATCCTTTTGCCTCATAAACTATACACAATTTGAACATATTACTTCAGAAACATATAAATTCCTTTTCTGTTTTTTTGTTCAGCACTTCATCAACTCAGATTCCTACCTTGTATCTTTCCAAATCTTCCAGAATATGTTTGGGTGTTATAGTTGCGAAAATTGAAAAGAAAATTCAATAACTACTCCTGGACTTCATACATTGGTCAAATCTCAAAACTAACACATGATAATATATTTAGAAATCATTAAATTTCCATTAATGTTAGTATTATTTTCTCAATGGTCAACCTCAGAATTTTCCGTTTTATTTCTTTCCCTTTTTCAGCTGCTCATGGAAGAAAAGCCCCTCAAAAATAAAAACCAAGTCATACTCCAACAGTACCGTTCAAAAGCAGAGCACTATCTGTGCGCCTGCCTCGGCGAAAACAACTCCACTAACGTGCGTCTCACCCCAGGGGGCTTACTCTATGTCCGCCAGTGGAACAACATGCAATACGTCTCAACGGCGTCGTTTCTCCTCACTGTCTACTCCGATCATCTCCGAGCCGCAGGTCAGAGGCTCCACTGCGACAAAGGACAGGTTTCTCCGCAGGAGATCCTAGCCTTCGCAAAATCACAGGTGGACTACATCTTGGGTTCCAATCCAATGAGAACGAGCTATTTGGTTGGCTATGGACCCCACTTCCCCCTGAGGGTGCACCATAGGGGCGCATCCATTGCGTCATACAAAGAGAATAAGGGTTTTATTGGATGCACGCAGGGCTATGATAACTGGTATGGACGCCGTGATCCTAACCCTAATGTACTGGTTGGGGCCCTTGTGGGTGGGCCCAATAGTACGGACGGGTTTACCGACGACAGGGGGAATTACGTGCAGACGGAAGCATGCACTTACAATACAGCCGCATTAGTTGGGGTGTTTGCCAGATTGAACAGAGCACAAGAAGAGGAAGCTTTTAGTGATGAAGAAGAAGCTAATTTGGCTTTCATCAGTGATGGTTAATTGGGGTTAATAATGATAAAATTGTAATGCTGAGGATGGAATTAAAACAATATATAGGGGCACAGATTGCAAATACCAAAAATACTTAGAAAAAAGTTATAGCATTGGATAGTGAAAGTGGCTTTATTTTCAGAGGCACAGTTTAGAGTGTTTGTTCTATATATAGCCCGGAATTAGCCATAAATTCATATGAAAATTTATTTTGTGGATTATTTTTAAATTTCTCACATGAAAATGACCAAAAAGTTGTTAGATGAGGTTATATATCAAACTGATTGGATGATAAATTGTACTAATGTAGGCCAAAACCAAATATGGGAGTACTGATAAATAACAATACGCATAAAACACGCATAGTTTTATTTGTTTATTATGATTATAACCATTTTTGTATTATTGACTGATTCATATTTGAGTATTAATAGGGCCAAATATAGAATAGGTTTTCAGCGTGGGCATAATTTTTTCAACACCAAAATTTGAATTGAGTTTGTTCAGCCATGGTCAGCACACGTTCAAATAAGTAGTGCTCCTGTTTTGTTAAGTTAGAATGAGTTGAAATAAACAGGGGAGGCTGCAAAATAAAGTGGCCTTTTGGCTTGTGGAAAATGAAATAGAAGCAGCTGGCAAGTAAAGCATGAAATTTTAACGGCAGTTTGTACTGATGATTCTGTACACTTGTGAAAAGGATGCCTTATCAATGAAATGCTGGGAATGTTATCACACCAATTTCAATTGCACATTTAATGGGACTGCTCGTAGTAACTATTTTCGAACCACCAGTATTGTCTGCCATTCCTTTGAGAGTAGTTGATACGATTATGTTCATGTTCTTTTGCCATCAGAATATAGATGATTAGGTGTTTGGATTAACTTGAGTGATATATACGATAACAATTTTTGTCTCCAAGTAAAAATACTTTTTAAAGTGCGTAGGGGGTTTTCCACCATCAAGAAATACTTCTTGGGGTGCGAAAGACGCTGTTATGCAGGGCTCATTTAACGATTATTTTTCAATGTTGCCATTATTTAATTATCTTCAGAAAGAGAGAAGGAAGAGAAAGATGTGAAAATGATTCGTAAATATAGATAAAGAAAAAACCTTTAATAAGAGTAAATTTAAAATTTTTTTTTATCAATTTAATGTATTTTTTAATATGTGAGAATAAGTTACAAATGACTTATAATAATAAGACCCAGAGTGATAACTCTTTTTCTCCCTCCCTCCCCCTCTTTCTCTCTCATGTTTTTTTGTTATTAGGTGATTTGAATCACGAGAATAATAAATTTAAGTGATTTGGATCATGAGACTCATTAGGGTTAAAGCATGTCTCCATACTTAAAAAGTATTTATAAAGATATTTACAGATTATTTATTAGCAAATTTTTTATATAATAATACGGTTTAAACTCATGATCTTCTGAATTACGAGATGTATTAACTTTGCATATATGTGATGTCCCACACCTTTCAAGAGAACGGTTTTGAAAGGCCTTATATTGGCAGCAGCACCTGCGGCGGCTAACTCGGACCACAAAGTGATGTGAGTGGGTCGCTAACACTAAATCAGACTCAGGAAAGTCCCCGGGCTCAGTCTGTAGAGATGCAGCGTCGGTAACGGCGTCGTTGGAGCATGGAAATTAAATCACCCATATGATGGTTGATAGGCTGAGACACGTGTGGAGCCCAATGATTTTCGGCCCAACAAAATTTGGCCAATAACACAGTCATTCACATGGTCCCATGTGCGACTAACAGAACGGGGCTTACATCTTCGTGGTCGCTTTCTTTTCCGCAATCACACACAATTGTCTTAATTATCCGAATCCCAATAAAATGACACTGATGATAACATTTAGCCGCATTTTTCAAACTCCTTCATCACTATCTTCTCCTCCTTATCCCATCTGACACTCCAGCAGCATCTCTCAAGTTCTAAAGGATCCCTACGGCTTCAAAGACCAAATAAAAATAATTGCGACACATCATACCTCAATCATGTATATGATATTTCCCTACTTTCAATATAAAATTTACTTAATTTAGATAGATTAAGAACAATGACCATTCGCCCACCTGATCCTTCACCACTGAACCTAGGCAGTCAAATTTTGGCCCACAGCACCCCCACTTGTAGAGTTGGTTGGATAATGGATAAGAACAACTTTAACAGCCATACCCATCATTCCCTTTCATCTTTCAATCCCAGCTGGGCAACTGGCTGAGCATCCTCCGCAACCTCAACACTTCAATTTATAGCTCATATAATTTATGTAACATATATCCTATAGCCTATAATTTATATAATACAAGCTATCCGCTTGAGTCTACCTCGGATGAAATGAGATTTAAGTCCGAGGTTCAAGCCTTTCGATGCATATCAAAAAAATAAACAATATAAATATTAACTAGTCTCCCCCACACAAAGCACCATGTCTGGCATTAGGATAAAGAATGGGTACCTCCACATAGATTATTATGAGTTGTGTACTTTATTTTGACAGGCCAGGACCACGAAAGCAATATATATTTATGGCAGAGAAAGGCTCTCTCATACAACAAAATTAAAACTACTTTTAAACAATTTTTCTCAGCCCGTGATCAGTAAACTCACCACCAACTGGCATAATAATCCCATATGAATCATTAAGATCAGAAAATATGAAGACCAATTAAAGTAATAAAAGGGGTTTGATTTCTTCTAACACAAGAAAAAGTTGAGGGAAAAAAAAAATAGGACAGGCTGTTGAAAACAAAGACATTCTCTTATTGTTGCTGCTTCACACACAGCTTTCTAATTTCCAGTCCTGCGGTAATCAGTGTCAGGTTCATGTTCCTTGTACCTGTTCTTCACTGATCCAACGTTGGAGTCAACCCTGGCAGCTTCCTCTGCTGCATCATAGGTCCTTTCTGTTGTTTGGCTTGCTATTCCCTCCTTGGATTCCCTTGCTTTCTCCTCTGCAACTCTCTGGAATTCCTCAGCTGTTGACGGTGCCCTCTCTTCCACTCTATGGTTCCCTCGGGTTGATTGCCCGAAGTTCTGATTCCAAACAGCCCATTCATTACACACGGAACAAGAAATTACTTTGTTTAATGAATTATCACAATTTCAAACAATGTTCTTTATACTGAGACAAAACAACATATGGTATCTGATTGAAACTCAAAAAATCAGATTCCAAACTCTAACGCTGTATTTTGTGGGGTCTCCTTCTTTCTTAGGTTTGATGCTTAGGTTAACCTAACAGCAAAGGAAAATTGGGAACCTAATTGAGTCTATATTACATTGAAGCTTAAGAAGCACAAAAGCTCACTTGCCTCGTAATTTTAGCCTACTTGATTCCCCTAAACTTCCATTCCCAAACACTGAATCCATTGGAACATAGATGACTTTTGACGTTTGAAGGGTAAGATGCTGGCGAATTCACTTTCCATGAGGTTTCAATCGCCTTAACAACCCTTTAATTTTCACTCTCAAACATTATGCAGAAACAGTGCTTACAAAATCACCCGACAGAACAATACAAGTCATATCAATCACAGAACATTGGACCAAATAACCAAAACAATCAATCAGAACGCCACAATTGGGTTTCCCCGATCAAAATTTCCCGAAAATAAAAGAAGAAGATTCACAAAGCAAGAAGTCAACAAAAAGTGGCAATCATAAAAAAGGCAGAGAAACTCAGAAAAATACACGCACAGACAGCAAATCAGTGAGAACCCCACATTGGGTTTCCCCAAAACAATTTTCCTACCCAGGTGGGTATTGCAGAATTCACAAGCCAAGAAGGTGACAGAAAGTACGTAATTTTACAGAAAAGAAAGAAAAAGGCAGGGAATGATTTAGAAGCAGAAAGAGAAGAAAGATGAGACCTTGATGGGGTTGAAGAAGAAGGGCCTGTTGGAGGGTTTGGTGACGGAGGATCGAAGAGTGAGGAAACAGGAGGCAGCCATGTTCGATGATGGTGGGGTGATGGCGGTGGACAGCCGGCGAAATGAAAAACCAAAATTGTTTGGGTTTGGAAGAGAGGAGCAAGAAGAGTTGGTGCAGCTAATATGTAATTGGTGTGGGGACGGGACGTGTCTGTTGAACGCAGCAGATGATAGGCACGTGCTGACGTCCCAATCCACCACTTCGTAGCTTCCGCTTTCCTCAACAGCTTAACGCCTCGTTTGGTTCACTCGAAATGAGTCCCCGTAAAAAGAAATGGAAAAAATAAAACCAACATTTTCTTATGTTTAATTCGTTTAAAACACATTTCATTTCTTTCCCAATAAATTCTGAAAAATCATTTCCTTACATAATGTTATGAAAATTGTATTTTCCTTGAAAAATAATGGTGAAGAAAGAGAAGATATTTTTTGATTATATCTATGAGGTACTCAGAGAAATTTTTTGTATACATATATAATTTTATCTTTTATTTATTATTGCGTTGATTTTGTTTACATAAGATATAATATATATTAAATGAAGATAAAGTTAAAAATTTATTAAATTTTAAATTGGAATTAATTAAATTTAAAAATTTTTTATGTGTAAAACATGTCGAATGTGACTTATAAATAGGATTGGATGAGTCTTTACATTTTGGTGGAAAAAAAAACTACTTCTTGATCTTTAATATAAATCTAATTAGGAACTATTTATTTATATGTCATTTTCAACATGTTTCATACGGATTAAAAAAAACTTTAAATTTTATTAACTCTCGTATAAAGGTTAATAATTTTTCAACTTTATTCCTATTTAATATATTATATATATTATATCTCATGAGAACAAAATAAACATAATAATAAATAACGATTAAATTATACATCTATATAAAAATTTATAAAAATAAAACTTGAATCATCATTAAATGGCGATCACATCATTACCATTTCTGTTCTCTTTTTCTCGATTTTTTGGGGCTAAAATTCCTCTATCAATTGTGCTTTATGCCCTGCGTCTTTCATTTTGTGGTTATTGCACCATTAAAAAAAAACCCGACTTTTATACATTTTTTTAAAAAAATTCGGTTAAAAATTTCTCTTTAAAAATTTAATTGGTTAAAAAAATTTAAATTTGAGTAAGTACAATTATAATCTATAAGTTTAACTGTTCTTTTATTATACGCAATATATCATTAATGATGTGTAATAATCATCAATATAGAAGTCATTTACATAAAGTCAAAGATATGTTGTACATATTCACGAAACATAGTTGACACTTAAATCTAAGTTCTTTTAGTTAATTAATTTTTTAAATAGGGATCTTTTACTAAATTTTCTCTTTTTTTTACTATTAATTCTGATAATTTAATAATTGGTGGTTTGAAAAATATCTCCAGTATGCTATTTCGAATAACTTTAAATTTAAATTGTCTTCTAAATTCCATAATAAATTGATTCTTAAAACAATTACAATCAAGTCTTCAAAAAATTACTAAAAAATCTCAATAACAACTTAGGTATTCTATAATAACAAGTTTCAAAATATAGAATAACAACTTTTTAGATTTATTTTATAATTTTTTTGGACCTCATTATAATTCTCCATTGATTCTTTAAAATTTAATAATATATTTATTTTTAATAATATAAATTTGACAAAATCAAACTTGCGGATGAATATTTCACTTTTTCTCTCTCGCACTTTTCCTTTTATGTGACGTGGTCCAATCTAACATCATATTCCGCAGATATGATTTTGTGCAAAAAAAAATTAGTTTGCAATTTTGGTGTTAAAATAGTTATGTCAGGAGAATTAGTTTCATAATTCATCTAAGAAGACAATTATTGATAAAATTAGGTTTCATATCATTATTTAAAATTGATATTTGCTAACTCTTTCACACAAAATAAGGGATGTCTTGATGGGAAAATTTCATGTAGTTCTACAAATTTTTTAATAAAAAATTTAAAAGGAGAATGACAGAAAAAGAAACTAAAAATTGCAAATCTCAAGTAAAGTTTGGTAACATAACTTTATTTGGTATTGATAAGTTTGAATTTGTAAATAACAATAAATTTTTGTTAACATTTCTTATTTGATATTTACAAAATTCTAACTTTTTTTTAATCAGTGTCTCAAATTTAAAACCATGACCCAAAAGAATTAAATTAAAGGAGCAATGTAAATCTTATCATAAGGGAATATTTATCTTCTGGTTTTTTTTTTTTTAAACTTTGGTGAAAGTTCTGGTCTCGAATATCATTGTAATATCATTAATATGTTCATATGTAATTGGCCCAACACATACATGTACCTTTTTACTTTTCAGTTCACGAATCAGGGATGTACCTTTTTCTGTCTTAGGATAAAGGTGAATTTATTTTGTTTTTCACTTTTTAGCCAGTTCATGAATGTACGTTTTCTGTTACATTATGAAAGTAATTTAATTGTTGTTTTTAAATTAGTTTACCTATTTAAATATAATTAATTGAACGTGATTAAGACTCCCCGTCTTCTGGTATATCCTTCATCATAACCCAAACGGGTCCATTGATGCCATTTTATATATGACAATTAGCAATTATATATTTTAGGCAAAAATATACCCCTTTTTTTTTGCCAAAAAAAAAATTTAGTTCGATCTTTTAGTCTTATTAAAAAAATTCATTCCTCTAACTCCTATATCATTATTTTAAAATGATAATTATTTGTGCTTATAATTTTTATCTTTAAGAATTAAATATAATGTATCATCATCTAATTAGGAATATTGCATCAACATTTAAAATTTTAATTGTGACTTTTTTTTAATGAAACCAATAGTGTTAAGATCAGAGGGCTGAAAAAATATTTTAAAAAATTAAGAGATAAAAACAAAATATGAAGTGAAAGATTAAAGACACACCTTTATTTATATATTTTTTTGGGTAAAAATGAGGCACTAAGCCCAAATAAATTAACTAAGTCATTAGGGGATCAGTTCCCATACAATCGGTAATCCAAAGTGTGCCAAGGCATCTGCAAGAGTATTTTGTTCTCTTGGGATATTGACTAATTTAACCTCCCAATCATATCCCATCATCTCATGGATTTGCATCGATAGAAGGCTGGGGTTCCTGGAACTGCCTTTGTTTAGTAGCATATCAGTGAGGATTTTTGAATCTGATTCAAGAATGACTTCCTGGAAATGCCCTTGAAAATAGCCCATTCCTCTGCTTGTATAACATCATAGATTCCTAGTGAAGCCAGCGATCAGTGTCCCTTTGTTATCTTTAATCGCTCCACCACAACCAGCCTTTCCTTTAGATTTTGAAACTGCACCATCTGTGTTGACTTTAACCCAATCCAAGGGTGGTGGAATCCACACAATATGACTATCAGTAAGGCTCTTACTGTGCAGTGGTGAAGTATCATTGAATTGAGCAAACCATGCGCTGAAAATGACAGCAACAGGATTTTGAGGTTTATTAGAATCATCATTGAAGGAAAAGTTGTTTCTCCACATCCACAAATGCCAAATCAATACACCCCAAACAATATTCCACGAGGCTTTCACATTCAATCTCATGTTTATATTGAAATTCATGCCCATCCAGTCATTTAGGCCAGCAGAAAAAATTGAAGAGTGTACCTGGGGTTTAAAATTGCTGTCCACAGTAATTTAGCATAAGAGCAATCTCTCAAGATATGAAGTAGGCTCTCAGAACCAGCTTTGCAGAAGCTGCAAATTGAGGAAATGCCTGACCATTTACTTCTCTACTCATTGGCGGGAAGTTTGTTGTTAAAAGCTAACCATAGGAATACTCTTATTTTTTCTGCTCCTTTCCAAATCCAAATATAAGTTCACCTGAGAAGTCCTGGAGGAGGTTTTCCGATTTGGCAGTATTCACTTTTGATTGTAAAGCAACCATGTGGAGTGGGGCTCCAAGTCATTACATCTTCACCAGCATGAGTCATCGGCGGCCAAACAGAAGTAAGTGTCTGAACAACCTCATTTCTGACAACACTCGCTAGCCGTGCCAAGTCCCAAGATCCATGTAGCACCCAATCCACTACTGTGCTATTTTCTTCTTGGGAAGTAAGTGGTCTTAAGCATAAGTCTTTGATTTTTGGTCTTTTGAAGAGCCATTGATCATTGAAGAAATTCACCAAAGCACCATTTCTTATCTGCCATTTTGTGCCTTCATTAATAATCTCACTTGGCTGACATATGAATATTCAAAGATCAGTCTCCTTTTTGATCATTGAGGGGACTATCTTCACTTCGAAGCATATATTTTTGCTGAAGTACTTCTACCCATAATCCTTTGGTACCAATTAATAAGTTCCAGGCAAGTTTAGCACCAAATGCCCTATTGATAGAGCTCAATTTCTTGAGTCCAAGACCACCCTATTGCTTTGGTAGAGTGATTCTATCCCAGCCAACAAGGTGAAATCCATTTCTATTGTTCATCTTCCCCCAGTGAAATTCCTTTGTAGCCCCTCAACTTCGCTGCAAATACTTCTAGGAATCATTGCAGCTTGCATAGGATAAAGAGGCACTGTACTAAGCATAGACTCAGCCAAAGTAATTCTTCTGGCTGTTGATAAACTGTTAACTTTCCATGTTGCTAGTTTATCTCTGACTCGGTCTACAATATAATGGAAAGTCTCTGTCGGTTTCTTCTTTCTTATCAGTGGAAAACCAAGGTATTGCCCAATATCAGTTGATATTTTCATGCCAGTCAAGTCTTTAATTTTCCCTTTCAAGTTAGCTGCCAATTTGGGAGAGAAAATATTAAGGACTTGAGTTTATTAACCTTTTCTCCAGAAGTTGGCAGAAATGGTGAAGGCATTCCGTCATTAAATGGGCTTGTTGTTCAGAAGCTTCTCCAAAGAGTAATAAATCATTTACAAACATCAAGTGAGATACTGAGGGCCCTTGTTTAGTGACTTGGATAGGTTTCCATTTACCAGCGTTGATATTGTCACTAATAAGATGAGATAATCTGTCCATACACAAAATAAACAAGAACGGGGAAATAGGATCTCCTTGCTAGAAGCCTCTTTTGGGTACAAAAAATTCAGTTTCAGCACTATTCCACAACACATTAT